ATAATGATAATAATAATAATAATGGTAATAATAATAATAATAATAATAATAATAATAATAAAAATAAATAAATAATAATAATAATACAGACAACCCCCCCAAAAAACACACAACAACAACAACAACAACCCAACAGCAACAGAAGTAGCAACAACGGATGAACTACAGAAAACAAGTACTGTAATAATATCATGAAATTACAATAAAGCGTCTGACAGTACAGGACTGTGTAATAGGTTTAGTGTAACATTTCGCTTACTTAGGGGTCACGTGTACCGTGGCATATTATGCATCATGTCTGAGTCCACTTTTACCGTCTGGGCTGACCGCAAACCCGGGCTATCTGTTTGTGTTTGTGTTTTGTAGGGCGGGAGACTGAGGCGACTTTGGGCAGTGCCTGGTGGGCGGAGAGCGAGAAGGCCTGTGTTGTAGTGACCACTGAAGTCTTGTCTTGCAATGATGAAATTGTTTGGGAAAACAAATGTCTTAGATTAGAACGACACGGGGCTTCTTACAGGAGGAATTTGTTTGCCTGCCCCGAGGAAGCCGAGTTGAAATTGAAAGCCAAGAAAATATGCATTTGAGGTGAAGTTTTTCGTTATTGAGACACAGATAGAGTTTAGGAACCCGCTTGGCTATACTATTAGTATTATTGTCGAAAGGTTGAATAAATTGTGACCAAAAGTTATATTGAGATTTTCTACTTTTTAATATTCGAGATGACTTTTCCCTTTTCATACTCTCGCTGCTCGCGTAAATTTGTTTGTACAATGTTGTGTGTGTATGTGTGTATGTATATATGTATGAGTGCGTGTGTGTGTATGTGTGTCTGTCTGTCTGTCTGTCTGTCTGTCTGTCTGTCTGTCTGTGTGTGTGAGCGTGTGTGTGAGCGTGTGTGTGAGCGTGTGTGTGTGTGTAATATATCCATCCATCCGTCCATCCATCCACCCATCTCTCTCTCTCTCTCTATCTCTCTCTCTATCTATCTATCTATCTATCTATCTATCTATCTATCTATCTATCTATCTATCTATTCTTTTTTATGAAAAAAATCCAGGCTGGGGGGGAACTGATGTCCATCGTATGATATGTGTTTTGCGTCCTTTAAACAAATGTAAGACTTTTCGAGAGACAGAACACAGGAATAAGACCGAGCCAGTTAAACAGAGAGCCACCCCCTCCCCCAGTCGATAAAAAGAAAGGACAAAAAAAAGAGAAGAAAAAAAATATACAAGTATTTATACATTTTTGACGAACTTTATCACAAATATGTTTTTTTGAAGGTTCATAGGATAAACGTGGCTAAAAAAACCCCATGCATCCACAGGGAAATTCAAAGGACAGCGGTGTGATTCCCGATCACAGGCTGGGTAATTTGTCATACCACGTAGATCTGCAAATAGTAAGCATTCCTAACATGTCTGAGGAGGGGGAGGGGGGTAGATGGAGGGTGTAGTAGTGTATAAAGGACGTATCTCTCATGAAACGATCCACTACAACATTTACGTATAGAACAATATCGTCTATTCGTAGACAGCTTTTGGTAGATGCCGTTACCCAGTCCATACAATCTGAAATTCAAATTTAGTTGTCCAAATCTTGCATAGCAAAGCATGATGGGCAATCGGAAGTTATACATAAATTCCCAAAAGTCTCAACTGCATCTCGTGATGTCACATTTCCGACCGCATTTGACTCCAACTACACTGCTCTATTCCACTAACCCATCCCTTAACACCCCCCACCCCCCGATCCTTCCCAACATTCTTCTTCGAAGAAATTCCCAGGACAGTACAGAGTTGTAGCTTCGGCTGCGTGGAAACCCAACACCAGATATATCCTTGGACACCCACGGAGGTGGCCACTCATCCGGAAAGGACCCTATTATTAAAAGCTAATTTATTTTCGAAAGGAGTGGTTCAACACCTATTAGATTGACCAAATCTTGACCTCTGCAAGGTGTGGGAACAAATGTCAGAGTCACACAAAATTCTCTTCATTTTTAACCAAATGGTCATGTCGGGGCTTGCCTCTACGTCAATCTTGCAAGTATCCCACAACCCTTCAACAAACGTTTCGTGCTCCGTCGCTTTGACTGCTGCCAATACGACAATTAACGTCAATTATTTGCCTCGTTACTGCTCAAACTTCCCCTTTCTTGTTATTGCGTGTTTCTCGTCGTTCGAAACAGCCGCACAGCCGAACGGAGTATAGGATGGTGTGGAGACCAGGGGGGCTTGGCAGTCATAGACGTCCAGTCGCTAGGGGGCGCTTATCTCCCAGTGTTTGTGCCAGTGTTGACGTCCAGCACATCAAAAGGGCTGCTGGCACCCAACAGCGGCCAGTTACCCCTCCACAGAATTAGTGACGTAGACAGAGAGTCCAAGAAATTACTCGCGGCGTCTGAAATAATATCCCCCCTCCACCCACCCCAGACCACCCCCAACAAAAACAAAACAAAACAAAAAGAACAACAAAAACTCTCATTCCCTTTTTGAAATAGATAAAGCGAAAAACTAAATACCCCAAAACAAAACAAAACTCCTCCTCCAAGAAAATAAAATCCCCCCAAAAAATCAAAGGCCAAAATGTTTTTTTAAAAAGAACATGCAGCGTATCCCCCCTGTGTTAAACATACAAGCAAACAAACAAACAAACACAGAAAAAACAACAACAAACAAGCAGCAAAACACCAATCCCATCTCAAACAAACACTTCCCCAGCATTAAAAAAATCCCAAAACAAACCCGAAAACCCTAAAAACAAAGAACAAACAATCGGTCAGAGCCCCCCCCCCCCAAACAAACCCCCCCCCCCCAAATGCGTGTGTTTGTGTGTGTGCGTGGGTGGTTGGGTTTTTTTTTTTTGGGGGGGGGGGGGGGAGTTCACCGACTAAACGAAACACTCTTAGAGTTATCACAACATCCCCATCGACAGGTAGGTATTACAGATTAAAATCCTATTTGCTTCCTTCGAGCTTTCCGTTTCTTTCTCCACTTCTGTAGAAACCTAATGCGACAGTACTTTAAATCCTCTTTTAGGCACACCTTAAGAGATATCAAACACTTTGCAGTCTCAAACAAACTCACAGTTTTTGAAAACGCTGGGTCAAAACTATCGCCATCTATTTCTCACAACGAACATCAAACCGACACTTTAACAAATTGGTTTTGATTTAATCATCCTAATTTCCAGAAGAAATTGAGACATAAAGGAACCACCGTTGCGCCTGCAGCAGGGGAATATTTAAAAGGGAGGCAAGAGCTCTTGGTATACATCCGGGGTCTGGACTTGGCGTGCCGAACGAGCGCAGGTTTCTTGTCTCAATAAAGATATCTCTATGACTTGACGGCGACATTTGGTCAGAAGGGATTAGCTGGAAGAGGATCTCCGTTAAGTGTTGAAGTCAGACTCACTACAACAGTGGTAGAGAAAAAAAAGTTAACAATGAAGATCAAAGGACGCCAAGGTATAAGACTGTCTGTTCTCACCTTGCTTCTGTTGTGTGTACAGTCCAGCCTCCAGCAGTTCATCCCCATTGGAGGAGGGAATTCCCCGCAAGCTTCGTCTGGAAACAGCCCGTAAGTTGCCCTCGAACGTCTGTTTGTTTAAAAAAACAACCCACCCCAACGAACAAAACAAACT